GTTAAAAAACGGGATGATTATGTGGATATAAGATATTTTATAAATTTATACGTAATTTAAAATAAAATTAACGCGTACGATATTAATAAAATTATTTTAAGTAATAATATATTAATACTTTATAAATATAATAATGGTAATAATTAAGCTTTTTTATAAGATATTAAAAATTAAAACTTATTAATAAATTACTTATATACGTTATTATATAAATAAATTAAAAATAATGATATTTATATATAATTTATATTTATTAATAATAATAGATAAAAATTAATTTGGCTTTATAATAATATAAATAAATAATATGTTAAATTTATTTAATAAAATTTTTAATAATCTTGAAAAAATTAAATTAATAAAAGTTAATTTTACTATTAAATTAAAAAATTATTTAATTATAAATAATTTATTAATTTTTAACGGTTATATTTTAACGTTAAACAATAATGGTAGCCTTTATTTACGTTGTAAAAATAAGGTTAAAAAGGTTATATTAATTAATTATAATTATGTAAATATGGCGTAATAATATATAAAATAATATATTAAAAGCGTTTATATAATTATTATTTGTTAATTTAAAGCTATTTTTAACCTATTAAAGGTAATTTAATATCAAGAATTTAGCGATAAATAAGTTAATAAGTTAAATTATTGCCTTTAATGGTAATTAAATAACGCGGAATAAGGTTTATAATATTTATTTTTAAATTTAAAGATTATTAAATTATATGTTTTTATTGATGTATTATTTGCAAATAATTAAGACTTTATATTATAATTGGGGTACGTAATTATTTTAATAAATAAGGTTTTTAACAATAAATCTTTTATAATTATAAGTAATATAGTTTATTAGAATTTAATAAAGTGTAAACGCGTTATATATAATATATTAATAAATGAAATATACGTTATAATTAATAAAGTAAATATAATTATTATTATAAATATTATGTTTATAATTATTTTTAAAAAATTAAACCTATTTAAAGTCTTTATTATGGTTTATATAAATTTATTTTTATTATATAAATATTTTATTAAATTAAATATAATAAAAAAAAAACGTTTAATGATAAATATTATAGCGTTACGGCAATTATATAAACGCCGAAAGATTTGCAAAATTTGTTAAATATATAGCAAAAATAACCTTGTTAATGTAATAATAAAAGTTTTTTTAAATAAAGGTTTATAAACTTTTGTTAATATAAATATTTTAATAATACGGTTATAAAAATAGGTTAAAAAGTAAAAAAAGAAAATATATATACAGGTATAAAATATAATTAAATTAAAAAAATTAATAATAATTTTATTTATTAAAAAGAAAAATTATTAATATTGGAATATTATTAATAAGTAATATTTAATTGGTTATTTAACTATAAAATTATCTTGTAGCGATTTATTAATTTATAAATAAAATTATAAAATTTATTAACTTTAATTAACCACTTATATTTTTATAAAGTAATTAATTATATAAACGTAATTTTTATTAAAATAATAACAATAAACAATATAATACTTTTTGGGAATATTTTTATTTTAAATATTACTTTTTGTATATAAACTTTATTTTTCCAATAATTTAATGTTTAAATATTAAAAAGTTTATATAATAATAACCTTTTTTTTTATATAAATAATATTAAAAAATATTATTATTTTTAACGTATTTTTTTTTATTTTAAAAAATTTTTATAATTTAATTTTAAATATAAATATAATAGGTATTATTATTTTTATATTAAATAATATTTTTATAAAAAGTTTTTATTTATTAAATATTAATATTATTTTTATTAAAGGTTTTTTTTTTAAATGGAGTTTTTTTTGTTTTTTTTTTCGTAATTTATTAAGTTTTTTAATTAATTATTTTATTATAATAAACTGGTATAAATAAATATTTTATTTTTGTTTTAATATTTTATAAAATATGGTATAAAAGGTTTTTAAAAATTTAAATTATTATTGTTAATTTTGGTAATAAAGTAAAATTAACTAATTTTTTTTATTATTATATTTATTTTAGCTTTTTTAATAAATAAAAAAGTTAATTATTTATTATTGTTATATTTTTGTTTGGTTAAGGAAATTTTGCAATTTAAAAATATTAGTAATTTTTTATTATTAATATTTTTTTTAATAAAGTAGGTAAAAGTGTTATAGGTATTATATTTATATTATTAGTATATTCTTTTATTTTTTTTGCGTTAATTAATATTTATTTAATTAATTTTTTAAAAAGCTTTTTTATTTAAAGTTTATTGGTTATTTTTAAAATTAAATTTTAGTTTATTGGTAAATTTAAACCGATTTTTATTTTTTAAAAATTAATTTTAATTTAAATTAAAGTAGGTTTTTTTGTTATAATTTTATTGGTTTAATTTTAAATATTTTGTTGTTAAAATAAGCTTTTTTTTTTATTATTAAAAATCTTAAGTTAGTTAATATATTTTTATAAATTTAGTTAATTTTTTAAATTGTAACAAAAAAATTTTTATTATTATTTAAAATTTTACTTTATTTAAAATATATTAATTTGGTAATTTTATTGGAAAAAGTTTTAATAATATAGTTTTAAAAAGTAATTTTAAATTATTAAATAATTTTATTAAAGTTTAAAAGTTTGGTAATATATTAAATTATATTTTTTATATATTTAAATTTATATATTTTTTTTAAATTTTTATATTTTTTTAAAAAGTTTTTAAATTATTTTTATAAAATTAATACGTAATTAATTTATTAATTTATAAAGTAAAATTGTTTAATTTGGTTAAAATGTTATTAATATTATAATTAAATTTTATTTGTAAGTAATAATTTTATTTAATTAATGCAAATATAATTTTCGAAAAAGTTTTTTATATAAGTTTTTAAATATAATTTAACTTTTATTTATTAAGTTTAAAATTTAATAAAACTTTTATTATTATATATGGGTAATTTATTTAAGTATATTGGATTAATAGTTGTAAAAATGGGTTTAATAAGTTTTTTTAACGTTTACAATAATTGTTTTTTAATATTATTTATACGTTAAAATTTTAAATTTTATTTAAATTTATTAAGTTTTAAAAACGAAGGTTTATAAAATGGTTTTTAAGGTAAATTTTATAATTTTTAGTTATTATTATTATTGTTAAAATTTTTTAGGTTTTTTTTCGAAATTTTTACCAATATATAAAAAGATTTTAATTTTTATTTATTTCTTTTTAATATAATAAAAGGTTTAATGTATGTTTTTTTAAATTAAATATAAATATTTTCCAAAATTTATTTAACTTAAACGTTTTATAACGTTTATGTTAATAAAATATTTTTAATTTTAACTTTTAAGTTAAAATATTTAAATAAAAGTATTTTTATTATTATTAACTATTAATTTTAAAGCGGTTAATTAAAAAAAAGTTTTAATATTACCTTTTTTTTAATATTTTATAAAATTAATTAATTATTAATTTTAAAATAAATTTAATTAATATAACTTTTATATAAATTTAAAATTTTTTTAATTATTTTTAAAAACGTTTATTTATATACGTTAAATTAATATATTTTTAAGTTAAAAAATTATTAATTTAACCTTTTTTTTAAATAATTTAAATTGTTATTTTTTTTAATAAATCTTTTTAAAATATTTATTAAATTTAAAAATTTAAAAAAATTTTATGTTATTTTTAAGCAGCATTTTTTAATTTAATAATTATTATTTATTATATTTTATTATTGTTAAAAAAACGTATAATTATTTTTTAAACCTTTTAAAAAAATATTAAATTAAATTATTTAACTTATTATTTAAATTAAATAATTTATTTAATTAAAACTATTATATTAATTTAATATATTTATATTATAATATTATATATTATTTATAAAATTTAATATTACCAATTAAACTAATTTTAATTATTTTTATAATCTTTATTTATTAAACGTATAAAAGATTAAAAAAATTTATAAGTTTTTTTTATTTGTTTATATAATTAAATTAATTAATTAAATAAGTTAATAATAATAAAATTAATAATATTAATTTTAAATATATTTTATATAATTATTTTATAATTTTATAACTTATATAAAATAAAAGTATAATTATTATTAAAATATGTTAAACTTATATTATCAGTTTAAATTAAAAATAATTTTAAAATATTAAATTAAATTGGAAAACGTTTTTAATATTTATTTTAAAAATGTTTTTTAAAGAGGTTTTAATCAAATATTAATTTAATTATACGTTTATAAAATGAAAAATCTTTAAATTTTTTTGTAAATTTTTTTTTTAATTAAATAAAAAAGGAAATAACTTTTAAAGGTATAAAGTTTAATATAAAAAAATATTTTAATTTAATCTTTTCTTTAATAAATAATAATAATAAAAATAAAGTAATTAAAATAAAAAAAAGATTATTAATAAAAAAAAATAATAAAAAGTTTTTTTTAAATTTTATTAAACTTTAATTTAAAGTTTTAATATAAAATGAAATAAATAATAATCCGGAATATATATATTATTTTAAAATATTAAATTTTTTTAAAATAATAAAAAATTATTTATAATAAAAGTTATAAAAGGTTTAAAATATAATTAAAATTATTAATAATTTTTTAAAATTTTAAAATTTTTAAATTTTTAAATTTCTTAAAAAAAAGATTTTAACTTATTTATAAATAATTTAAAATACGTATTTTTCGGTTTAATTAAATCTTTATCGATATATTAATTTTATTTATATATAATTATATAATTATATAATATTTTTTATTTAATAAATCTTAAAATAATTATCTTATATTTTTTATTGGTTATTTTTTTTAACTAATAATTTTTTGGCATTACTGTTCGTGTGATATTTAAAACTTTACGCAGATGTGAATGTGAAAGCAGGACTTAACGACATGGATCTTTTAATCTCCTATTTGGGGGTTATGGATATCGCCGCCAAGGCTTCCTTTGACCTTTCGCTGGCTCGAGGCCTGGATTACTATTCTGGGTTGATATACGAGGTTATTCCCACGAGCACAGACCGGCCTGGTCACGCTAGGGCGAGTCAACCTAGCCAGGTTAGCAGCATTTCCGGGGGCGGGCGTTATGATACCCTCGTAGGTATGTATGGTAAACGACCTATTCCGTGTGTCGGCTTGTCCTTTGGGGTAGACCACATCTTTACTCTCCTATATCCGGGAAGGGAAAAGAGCTCTCCTGACCTGACTCGCGAGACCGATGTATACACCATAGCGGCTGGCGGCGGCAAGGAGTACGATGGACTTCTTCTTGAGCGTATGACAGTGGCTCGTCAACTTTGGGACGCCGGCATCCGGGCTGATTTTTTCGCCAAGGTAAAGCCGAAGCTGCTTCCACAGTTCAAGGCTTCCGAAAACGGGCTACTCACTGTCATTCTTGGTCAGGACGAGCTGGCAGTTGGTTAAGTTAGGTTGAAGGTTGCGCAGCAAGCTAGCCACCAGGAAACAGATGAGGGAGATGGAAAGAGTGAGAAGGATCGAGGCCAGCTTGTTTCTAGAAACGATCTGGTAGAGGAAGTGCGAAAGCTCCTAGCCGTAGTTGCAATTAAACAAGAATAGATTTCCTGCACCACTACCTGCCTCTTGAACACGTAAGGACTGTCAGTAACTCTTAGTTAATGAGAAATTGCTTAATATAATAGCATCGCTTTCTGTGACATACTTACGAAGCCTTGCCGTACTGCTAACCATATCATGAATCTCATTAGGGGCTTCAAAGGGATAGGGGGTTGAAAAAATTGTCTGATATCTATACAATTTGATTTTAAACTATCAAGTCTTTTAAAAATGTCTCGTGTGAGCCCAACTGGGCAGGATAGGGCACCTATCCCCAGGATAATCTGATTGGCCTCCCAATTGCTGTGTTGGCAGGTCCCATCACCTAGACTGGGGTAGTTCAGCTCAGCACCTCGATTTTTCCATGGTAAATAAATATTGAACGTGCTAATATACTACAGCGTTGAGTTAAAATCTCGATGATAAATACACTATGAATGATACAGTTTCAGACCCCTTTTCTTCCCTATATACGTCTCTCCGGCTTTGTAAAGACAAAAAATATATCCGAGTCTTGGATCTTGGAGGGATTTCGCAATCACGCCAGTCCGGCAGCTCTGATGCTAGCCAGAACCAGCCATATGAGTTGCGCTGCCAGTTGCGAGTCGTCGATCTCGACGAAAATGCACGCCCAAAATTTATCGCCCTATCATATGTCTGGGGTCAGGTGTCGTCCAAAGAGCCGCGTACGATAGTGTGCGGTGGGCACTCGAAAGTCATAACAGACAATTGCTGGGAAGCGTTGAGTCAACTGCGCGATGCCCCTGACCCTGATCGGAATACGGATGGGTCTATAACTCTGTGGGTTGATGCAATTTGCATTAATCAGGCCGATGAAGAAGAGAAGCTCCACCAGATTCGGTTGATGGGTGATATATATTCTCAGGCTGCCTCCGTTTGCGTCTGGCTCGGTCCCGGAACACCACAATCTGACAAAGTCATGGACTATTTGGAGGTAGCTGGTTTTCAGGACTATATTGTTGGAGATGATAGAGCCCTTCAACTGGGAATATCGCCATTGACATATTGGAAACTAGCTTTTAAAATATTCTCCAACTGCAATATCCAAGGTTTCCTCCATCCCCGTAACAAGCCAGGTGAGCCTCCCGATTCCCGAACTTGAGCTAAATGCTATATCTATGAAAGACGGTCTAACTTGTCTGAGTAGATCGTCTCTTGAATTTACTTATAGTTGGAGACCGGTATCTACCTTCGAGTGATTTTATGGATGAGATATTTGGCAGACCTTGGGTTAGTCGCATTTGGACTTTGCAAGAAACCCTTCTCGCATCTAGGATAAGAATTAGATGCGGTACTAAATCCTTAGACTGGAGTCATATGCTGTACGCCTTGACCTGGTTTTCCTATGTTCTTGAAGCATGCAGGACAAGAGGTTGGCATAATCTGGGTTTACCTTGGGGTGGTGTTGTGGACACAACCGGTTTCGAAAGATGGCATGGACTCGCCGGATTATGGATGAAAATCCATGATTCTTCCTACCTAGGCGGCGATATGAATGGTCACTCAATAACCACCGGTTACACGGACTCGAGGATGATGGCAGATTACCGTATTGCCATAGCAAAGATCATTCTAATCTACCAGGTCGTTCTCGGATCCATCTTATGGGTTATATTCCTTCCCTTGTTTCTCATTTATTGCATTTATAAGATTGGGTACCTTGTGTTCACCATCCCTTGGCTCGTGGTTAATACAAAAGTCCGCCTTCGCGAATATCGAGAAGCTTGGACTCACAGTCGCTACTATGTATTCTCGACCTTGTCATCCCAGCTGCTAACATACTCAGAGAGGCATTCTCTCCCCACTGAACAGTCGCCAGATGCCAGTACTACCCTAGGCGCTGATTTGGTACGGGAAATATGGCAACGTGCAGCGACTGATCCCAGGGACAAATCCCATGGGGTGCATTCGGTACTCCGTAAGCTTGGCGTCCAAGTCGTCGATCCGACTCCAGGGACGCACTGCCATGACCTCTATAGAGAACTCTATTCGCCCACATGGCGTAGTGGTTTAACGCCTGGATGTGTGTTGGTCCGTGCCTACGGGCCGCAACACAAGTGGGTTCGAATCCCACTGTGGTCAAACCAAAAATGGTCCGACTCAGGTTTTTCCTTGGGCATTGCCGGGCGTTGAGGGTGATTCCATCTCCGTTATAAGAAGGCGTGTTCGACGGTTTTTCCCCTGATTAAAGTTGGCTACCTGGCGCCGGCGCTAACCAGGTAGAATAATGCTATAGGCAGGTAGGGGCTGGGGATAAGAAGTGGAGGATTGCCCGAGTTTACGAGGGGTTATGCCCGAATTTATGAGGGTTATTGTCATAGGTTTTCTTTTTTATAATAGGAAGTTTATCTGTACGCGGCTTTTTAAAGCTTTTTATTAAATGCATTTTTTAAATATAGATAAATCTTACCAAGTCCCCACTTTTATCTTTTTTTTAAAATATATACTTTTTTAAGTTAATTATATTAAGTTATGTTAAATTACACTTTTATAATTTACAATTTTTTTTTTAATAAAAATAAAAAAAGGTTTTATTAATTTTATATAAATAATAATGTATAAAAATTAAAAATATAACGTATAATAATTTTATATAAAAATATAAAAATATATTAATTTATTATTTTTTATATCCCTTTTTATTTTTTTGTAATATTTCTTTTTCTTTTATAACGTTAAATATACAATTATATTTACTTTATAATAATATTATAAAATTTAATAAATTTATAAGTTATTTTTAAAAACTTAAAAAAAAAAATAAACTATTAAAATTTATAAGCTAACATTTTAATAATCCCAAAAAGCTATTAAATATTAAAAAAAGATTTTTTTGTTTTATAAGTTAAAATTACGGTTTTTATAAAAAGGTTATAAATTAACTTATTTACATATAATTTTAAAATTAATCTTTTAAACTTTTAAAACACATTAAATTTACCACTTTACTTTTAACTTTAAAAACCAACAAATTAAACAATAAATAAATAAAATTTTATTATAACTTTTTAATAAAATTTTTTAATAATAATAAAATCCTTTACTATTATTCATTTTACATATATTAACAAAAAAAAATTTTAAAAATAAACAATTCCCGCATAAAAATATTAAACTTATAACTTAATTTTTAACAAAACCAAATTAACCATCGTTATATTATTAATTATTTAAATATAACCCAATTATTTAAACCTTTTCTTATAAATGTTTATATAAAATTAATAATTATTAAACCGTAAATTCATACATTACTTTACGCATTAATGGCTATAATTTTACTTTAACAACAAATAAAATTTTTAAAAATATCCTTTAAAATTAAGTTGCTTTTAAAAAACCATTTTTATAATTATTTAACAATAAAATTAAACCGAACATTACAACCATACTTTTATAAATCAGTAAAAAACCAAACTCGGTTTTTTATATTAAATATTAAAACGCTAAAATGGCCTTTATTATTAAAGAATTTTATAAAATAAACAATTAATTTTACCTAAAAAACGTAGTTTAAGTTTTTAATTAATAACATATTAATAAAATTATAATATAACATAATTTTAAAAAATATTTAAAATAATAACTTGCCGTCGTTTTATACAATTAATTATAAAAAAAGTCAAAATTTATACTTAAATTAATATTCGTACCCGTTAATTTTTTTAATTATATTATAAGCTAAAATTAACTTTTTATATTAAACTTCTTATAATATACTTTAAACAATTTAAATATAAAATTTAAAAAAATATTCTTTTATTACAATTTAACCTAACTCATTACGTAATATAAAAATAAGTTATTTAAAAATCATTATATTAAACCAATTTATTATTTAAATGGTTAAATTTTCAAAAAATATTAATTAAAATAAAACTAAATAATTAACTTTATTTATATTATAATTATATAATAATAATATTTATTTTAAGGAAAATAAAATAATATTAAAATTAAAATATAAAAAGTATTTTAAAAAAAATAAAACAAATTTAACATTAGCATTATTAACACTTAATTCCTTAATAAAACCCTAATAAGACAATTTTAAAAATTATAAAAAATAATTAAAAAAAAAAAAAAAAAAAAAATTACCATTTAACCGTTAATTAAATCTATTAAGGCCAAACCTTATAACAGATTTAATAAATAGTAAAAACTATTTTAATATTTAACTTCGTTTATTTTAAAAATAAAAAATAAACAAGTTAATTTTAATAAATAAAATAAATTTATTAAAAAGCTAGTTTTTTTAACGTTAAAAAAATAATACGGAAATATTATTAACTAAAAACTATAAAAATTAACGTTAATTTTCAGCTTTACCATTTTTAAAACAAAGCTTAATATTACCTTAAAATAATCCTTTTTATTAAAATATTTAAAAATATAGCTTAAATATTATTTTAATAAAAATATAACTATTTTTAATATTTACTTTAATAACTTATTTTATTTTAAAACTAAATTTAAACTAACTTATAAATAATATAAAATAAAATAAAATATTAAATTAAAAAATAAAATTAATTAAAAAAAAAATATAATATTAATAAAAAAAATAAAAAATATTTTAATATAAAAAATAATTTTAAAATATTATTATTAAATATATAGCCGTAATTACCAATTTAAAAATTAATATAAATTTATTTAAAAAAAAAACTAATAAAAATAAAAAAAATAATTAAATATTAAAATAGTAAAAGTTAAAGCTAACTATTTAAATAATAAAAATAATTAAATTTAAATAAAAATAAATATATTTTCCCAATTAATTCCTTATTACTTAAATTATTAAATACAAATTAAAAAAAATTGCAGCAAATATTATAAAAGTATAAAAAAATTATAAAATATTTATTTTTAAATAAATCATATCTTATAAAATAACATATATATACCGTTTAATTATAAAAATAAACGAAAAAAAATTATATAACAAAAATAAAAAAATATTAAAATAAAAATAATATTATTAAATATTATTAAGTGGTTAAATAAACATATTAAATATATAAAATGTATAAATTTTTTACTTTTATAACATAAGATTAAAATAAAATAAGAAAAAAAAGTAAAATTAAAATAAAAAATATATTTAAAAATAATATTAAAGTAACAATAATAATAAATTTTTTTACATATTAAAAGTATAAAAATTATTTAAATAAATAAACTTATATATATTTATTTATTTTAAAATTAAATTTATTTATTAAAATACATATAAAATATATTTACAAAAATAATATTTATACTTTTATTAAACCTATAATAACTTTTATTTTTATATATATATAATATTTTAATATATATTGCAATTAGATTTAAATTTAAAAATAATATATGTTATAATTCGTTCCACCACTTTTTTTCAACTTTTTACAACAATTATTATTAATTAATAAAATAAGAATAGTAGTATATACCAAATAAAAAAAAAAAACATATATAAAAAAAAATAATATAAATAAAGCTATTATAATAACTATTATTATAAAAATAATAAATTATATTATAAATAATATTTAAAAAAATTAATATATTATATATAAATTAATTACGTAATAATATATAATTATTCTTATATAATTATATCTTAATATTAACAACTTTATTCTTTCCTCCTTTTTATTATTATAACATAATTTAATAATTATTTTAAATTTTTTATATTATATATTTAATTTTAAATTTACCTTTTTTAAAATTTTAAACAATTTTTTTAAAAAATTTATAAAAAAATATAAATACGTATTAATATTTATATATATTATTATATATATACCTAAAATTTTAAAAAGTTCCGTATTTATATAAAACCCCATTATAAAAACAAAATATAAATTAATACCTATAACTTTTTTATTTATATATAAAAACATTTTTAAAATAAATATTTCTTATAATTTAATTATTAATAATATAAAATATTAAATTTTATTATATAAATAAATAAAACGTTAAATAATTTAATTTATATATTTTTATTTTAATATAAACCGATTAATTTTTTAAAATAATTAAAAACAGTAAAATAAAAAAATAATCTTCTTTTATTTTATTTACTTAATTATAAAAAGATTTTATTTTAATATTTATTATAATAAATATTAATATTATTTATACGTTTTTTTAAAAAGTTTATAATATCGGAATTTAAAAGATTTTTTTTTAACCATTTTTTAAATACCTTTTTATACCCTTTTACGGTAAATGTTATAAATTTTATTCCGAATATTTCGATAATATAAATTTTATTAACTACCTTTATATATATTTCGTTTTTTAATATTATAAAGCTTTTTTATACCTTAAAATAACCGTTTATATACGGCATTAATTCCAATTATTTCTTTTATATTTAAATTTTTTACCTATATTATCCCTTTAAGGTTAATTGTAACTTAATATTGCAATTTTTAATATTAAATAATGGTGCGTAATATTTAATAATATATTACATTTATTACATTTTAATAAGAAATTATATAAAAAATAATAAAAATAAAAATTATATAAATTTAAATAGCCTTTTTTTATTTAATATTTTATATATAAAAAATTATATTAATATACCTATTAATAATATCTTTTAAATTGAAAATTACTATTTTATTATTTTACCATTTTTTTTTTCTTTTCCTTTTAATCGTAAAAAACATTATACCATTACTTTAACTTTTAATAATTAAAATATACCTAAAATTATACCATTACTTTAACGTAAAGTAAAAGTTCTTTTAAATTAATCCAATTTATTACCCGTTAAAATCCAAACTGTTAAACTATATTATTTCTTATTTAGTTTAAATTTTATTTAATAAACTTATATTATCTTAAAAATAAAAATAAATTGGATTAAACAAAACCAAATTAGTAATAAATTTATCAGATTAAATAAAAATATTTTTAAAAATTAAAAAAATAAAATCCCAATTTAAAACAACCTTTATTATTAATAAAATTACAGTTTTTTAACCTTTTTATTAAAATTTATTAACAATATTATAAAAAAAATATATAAACTTTACATTTACGTTAACCGTATAAGTTAAGATTTTTCCAAAAGATACAAAAATATTAAACTATATTAAAATAAGATTATTTAAAACTTAAACAATATTTTCGTTAATTTTTTATTTACTTATTTTATTTAAGCAATTTTTAATAAAGAAATTATATATCTTTTTAAATTAAAAAAACGCTTTTTTATTAAAATTAAAATTTCGAATAAAAA